CTACTACTACTACTACTACTACTACTACTACTACTACTACTACTACTACTGTGCAGCTTTGTCTGGGAGAGTTGGGGGGGGGAAATAGACCTAACGAAGAAAAACAACTGACGCCTCTCATCCGTGGCTTGTTTCCAGGCTTCTTCACGACCACATCCAAAGATTGTCAAAAGTGGTGACGGCCAACCACAAAGCCCTCCAGATCCCAGAGGTAAACCCTGTCCGAAGTTCTCAGCTGGGTCCCTCCCTCCTGGTTGCAAAGTCCTGGGCCCTAGAACGGGAAGTGCGTTTGTGCACATAACCCGTGCGGAATTAGCCCACCGTTGGGGAACAGGAAAGAGGGGGGAGGCTGGCAAGTGGCAAGTTAGGACGCTTGGGAGAGCATCCATCTGTAGTCCTCGGCTTAATGAGCGTTTGCTTAGCGACCGAAGTTCCAATGCCACCCAAAACGGTGACGTGCGGACATTTTTCACCCTTAATGACCGTTGCAGCGTTCCCCTGTGGTCACGTGACCCAAATTCAGAGGGTTCATATTTATGACAGTCACAGCCTCCCGGGGAGGGTCATGGGATCAGCCCGACTCGCTTAACAACCGGGTGGCTTGTCACGTAACAATTGTGGCGAGAAAGGTCTGAGAAAGGGGGCAAAACTCTCTGGACATCTGTCTCGCTTAGCAACGGAAATGTGGACTGCTTGCTGTGGGGGAAGACACGACCGCGGAGGTGGCCACGCGGGGCTTGATGTCTCTATCTTGAGAGCTTCCTCAGCCTTGAGTGGTCCTTCAGACCCGGGGACTCCGACTCCCAGCCTTCCCCGGCCCGCCTGGCCGAGGCAGAGCATGCTGGGAGTTGAAGTCCCCCACATCTGGAAGGCCAGCAGGAGAAGGAATCTGCTCCCCTGGCTGGGGTGGCGTCTCTCAAGCGGGCTTCCCTGTCCTTGCCTCCCAGGTCTACCTACGGGAAGCCCCCTGGCCCTCAGCCCAGGCCGAGATCCGGACCATCAGCGCCTACAAGACCCCCCGAGACAAGCTGCAGTGTGTCTTGAGGATGTGCTCCACCATCATGAACCTGTTGAGCTTGGCCAACGAGGACTCGGTTCCCGGCGCGGACGATTTCGTCCCGGTGCTCGTTTTTGTCCTCATCAAGGTGAGGAGAGGCGGCCAAGGGGGCTGGCGAGTTCCTCCAGAGGGAACCTGGGAGTGGCCCGTAGGATAGGGTGGCCTCTGGGAGTGGCAGGGAGGACAGGGAGCAGGGCCCGCCCTTCTTAGGGGAAGAGAAGGGAGAAGGGGCAGAAGCTGCAGGCTTTCCCCAAACCAGCCCAGCAAAGGCACGGTTCGAATGGCTTTCTTGACTTGGGTTGGTTGGGTTGATGGATGGTTGTAGATGAAGGTCCTCTTCATCTGGAGGAGTTTTGGGCACTCGGTTGTTGCCAATGTGGACTTTATTTCTTTTGTCCTTTGCTCATTTAGGTAGAGAAAGCCTTTGTGTCAGAGCTGCCTTACTCTCCTTCCTCTCCTCCATCCCTCATCAGATTCACTCTCTGAATCTTTTCTCTTTCTTATGCCTGCCTTCCTTCCTTCCTTCCTTCCTTCCTTCCTTCCTTCCTTCCTCATTACTCTTGGAATCTTTCTTTTTCTCTTCCATATTTTTCTCTTGCAATCCTTCCTTCGTCTCCTTGCCTCCTTCCCTCTTTCTCTCCTTCCTTTCCTCTTTCCCTTCCTCCTTCCCTCCCTCATTACTCTTGGAATCTTTCTTTTTCTCTTCCATATTTTTCTCTTGCAATCCTTCCTTCCTCTCCCTGTCTCCTTCCCTCTTTCTCTCCTTCCTTTCCTCTTTTCCTTCCTCCTTCCCTCCCTCCCTTCCTTCCTCATTACTCTTGGAATCTTTCTTTTTCTCTTCCATATTTTTCTCTTGCAATCCTTCCTTCCTCTCCCTGCCTCCTTCCTTCCTTCCTTCCTTCCTTCCTTCCTTCCTTCCTTCCTTCCTTCCTTCCCTCCCTCCCTCCCTCCCTCCCTCCTCTGTACCTCAGCAACAAACCATGATCCCAACATCCAGCTCTGTTCTCCTGAGAGAAGGGACGGAAAACCCCTTTCTGGTTTGGCTGGTGTCCACTCCTAAATGGAGTGACAGAGGAGGGGTTTCCCC